GGGAGAGGGAGAGGGAGGAGGGAGAGATAGATAGAGGCAGAGACATGATGCGATGCGTTGAGGTTAAGGATGCTGATTCATGCAGAATCAGAATCAGCTTGAACTTGTGCGGTCCTTTTCTCGTTCTCATGTGCAATTCGCCCGGATCCCAGAATCCGAAACCTATGGTTGGGAATTACATATCGAAAATGTGGAGCCCTGCAGCTGTAGCGCCTGCACCAGACAATGCCCAAACCTTTGACAAGCTTGGGGCGGGCACCAGCTTCCCTCGAAGGTCCACCCGCAATCTTCAATAACCTCAACGCACAGAACCTCCCAGGCAGTGATGGAGGACATTCTCAAGATCAAGGCATTCTACGAAGATGAGGCTGTCTTTGAGGCACCCAGCGGCCTAGATGCGATCGTTCCATGGGTTCACATATTATTGATCGGGCCGTCTCCATCCCTAGCCCTATCCCTACGTCTGTCTCCAGCTTTGTCCCTATTGCTGTCCCTATCTCAGACAATGATCGAATGGCCATGAATGGGCATAACATGAAATCATCCGAAGGAGCTTAGCCTGGTGCAGAATGACTTCAACCTTACAAATGTGGAGCGCGCGGACAAGATCCTTGACATGGTGCCTGATCCCGGGTCTTATGTATGGGCTTGACTATAGGCTTTTGAGATGGATGTAAAGGCGCGAGTACGATGCTGGTCTGAGATTCGGGTTGAGCAATTTTCTTCCCAAAGGCAGAGCTGTACAGCCCCGGTGAAAAAGCAAAGGCCTTCCCAGCAGCCTTTGACCAAAAGACGGTTTCTGACTGACTCTGAAGGGCCTGAGCGCTCTGAAAACTCCTCAGGTGAAGCCGTTGAAGTCCACGGTGACGCCCAAGTTCGTCCGCTTCCTGGCAAAGACCCTTGGCAATGCCTCATGCTTATTGGGCTGCTCTCCGTTCTTTTGAAGGTCCTTTGCAAGACAGGCTCGTCTTCCTTCTACCTAATCTAACCTAATCTAATCCAATCTAATTTACTCTGTCTGTTCATACCTACGCACAGACATGCATGCATACAAATACTTCCATGGACTTTATGTACATGCATGCATGCATGCATGCATGCATGCAAACGTGCATATATACACACATATGTTGTATATTTAATATAGGTACTCACATCGGCATGCTCATCCAAGGAAGATGCGACTCAAGGGCCTGAAGGCCATCTGCCTCGAGTATGTCCAGAGTGCCTACTTCACCGAGTCCGTCAGCCCAGTGAAGGCCAGGGCCCCGAAACCCCGGGGTCCCCGAAACCATGGGAGTGGGGGGTGCGATTCTAGGGTTTAGGGTTTCGGTTTTGGGGGGTTTAGGGTTTAGGGCGACGGTCTAGGGTTTAGGGGTTCATGGGGTATAATTTTCAGGGGATTAATGAACTATGGACAGGTAGGTGGATGAGTAGCTCGCCAACCCCTCAGGTGACCTCCGCAGCGAGGCTGACAGATGCCCAGAAGTCCAAGATCATCGAGAAGATGAAGGTGCACGGGTTTGCACTCAGGAGGGAGCTCAAGTCATAATTACAGCTTAACAACATAGTGAAATCATTGCAGACGAAAGCCTTCTCGAACTAGCCCTCGAAACCCTTTCAGGTGAAGTGTGAGACCAGCAACATCAAGCTGATCGAGGAAATTGACGCCAACCTCATCAGTGGCTTCAAGTTGCTTGGATGCAGACTGGGAAGCCTTTATGCAGAATTTATGCATTATAGGACCATGTATGCCCTCGTAACATCAAGAGACCCGGATCACTAAATCCCATAGTCCTGCAGCCTTAAATCCACGTGAAGGTGATTCGCAGAATGAAATTAAAACATAGTGTCCTTCGCTTTTGAGGGGCTACTGGGTAACCCCCTAAACCCTAAACCCCCTAAACCCTAAACCCTAAACCCCCCTAAACCCCCTAGGCCCTAAACCCAAAACCCTACCTTCGACTTGTGGAAGGTTGGAGTGGGGCTACATCGACCCAGTGAACCTCGACGCACCGAGCCATGGCGTCGATCTCTCCCTGCAGAACATCTTGAACAAGAAGGTGCCCTGGTGTGAGGTTTAAGGGTTTAGGGTTTAGGGTTAAGGGTTTAGGGTTTGGGGTTAAGGGTTAAGGGTTTAGGGTTTAGGGTTTAGGGTTTAAGAGTTCAAGAGAGAACGACAGGGGTATCAGGCTCATGGGAGGCTCAGTTTCTGTGGGTCAGGAGTTCAGGCGTCCCTAGGGTTGAGTCCTCCCGGTGTGAGGTTTAGGCTTTAACTTTTGGGATGCTGAACGGCTGACATGAAAGCCTTCGGCTGTTTAGGACCGGGCATTATGACAGCGTGAGCGAGAGGACCCGCGAACCGAGAACCTCATCTTTCCGAGCTCGAAGGGAAGAGAGCCGTTACAGTTTAGGACTTCCTGTGAGGGGTGCTACAAGGTTTCCTGATTCAGGGCAACCCTAAACCCTAAACCCTAAACCTATACTCAGAGATTAGGCC